TTGGTTTTCCTGCGGGGCGGGGGGAGGGGGCCGAGGAGGAAGGGAAATGACATCAGAAATCGCCGGGTGTGCACGGTGGGGTGACCCGGTTCCGCTAGCACCCCCCTCCCCCCCCGCCGCAGGGGGAGGGAGGAAAAAAGAAACTGTCACCGTGGGATTTCATCAGCTTCTTCTGCCTCCGTGCATTTAACCTATTTTTCTTTCCTTTGATTATGTAAGAGGAGCGGTGCAGAGAGGAGCAACGAGTAGGGATGGTTGATGGGCTTTCCGGGGAATTACCGGGTTTTTTGTGTCTAGCTGGGCCGCCGAGTTAGCTCTGGGAAATGCGGGAGAATTATGTTTCGGTTTTTTGCTTATATTTACGTTTCTTGCACTGCTCCAAATATTGCAGCACAATGCAGGAGAGAGAGGCAGGGAGTGGAAACAGAGTGAAATTGGCCAAGTTTTTTTATATCACACTGAGTGAAAAGCGAGGGAGAATTGTAAGTAAAGAGTGAAAATCCTGTTCTGTTGATGTTTTCATGTAAGGAGGTACATATATATTTCCTTATCTTTAATGTCAGTCTAAGATATGAGTTTATAACATAGCATATTTATATTTTCCTGATACTCATCTTTTAACCTGTTTACATCATATTGAATGTTTATTTGAGTTTTGATTCAACACTCCTTATGAGACGATCTTAGTTTTTAAACTTATAAACAGGAAAATGTAGATTGAGGAGCTCTACTTTCTGAAAATGAAGACCTCTTGACTACAGGAATCTTCTCTTTAAAACTGCAAGCCGCAAGTAATAATTTAAATCTGCCGTTGTTTTTGGAGATGCTGGAAATGTAGCGTTGGAAATACTTATTTGAGTCAGGGTTTAGGGGAGGAAAATGTGCTGGTGGTGAGTGAAGTGATTTTTTTTTTTTCTTCCCCTGTAAGGGTTGTATAGAAACTGGGACGTAAATATTTTACTTTAGTTTCTATAGCTCTAAAAACTGGCCTTTCTGGTATAAAATATTTTGATTAATTATAAGTGTTTTCAAGCATCAGCAAAATAAAACTAGTAAGTTGGATTTGTTTTGCTGTTCATTTCCTAAAGTATGTGGGGAAGTTTTAGTTTCACTCTTCGATGGAAAATAGGAGATTAGAGCTACTTACAGGGGAGCAAAAAAAGAAAAAGTTTAGCAACAATGTATTTGTAGCAGCACAGAGTGGGCTGATGACACTGTGGGGGAAAAAGAGGATGGAGATGGGGTTGAAGAGTTGCATCTACTAGGAGCAACCAGAAGCAATCTTCAGAATGGTGTTTCACAGCAGAATTCTGGTCAGTAGATAAGCACATGCCTTTACCATCCATCTGCTAAACTGTTGGGGAGAAGAGTGTTTCCCAAAGTGGTTGTTCCTGTATCTCTTCTGCATTGCAACATCATCTGTCTGGTAAACTTCTGAAGTTCAAATCTGATACTTCTAAATCGCTTAAAATTTGCTCAAACATAGATGGCCTGATGAATTGCTCAGTTCATATGATAAGTGAAGGTTGGCCTGGTCTGATAAAGGGAGACTATTATTAGTGAGACAGTCTTGCTAGAGTGAAGTGATAGAATGACATTTCTGGAAACCAGTCTGGTGATTTTGGCAGAAGCTAGTCTAGCACTTCAGGTTGAGGAACTGTGAGTGTCGAGATGAAAACTACGATATGGAAGAAAGACAATATATAATATATTCAGGGGAATAATAGTAAAAACAGTTGTCTCAAATAAATAGATCATGTGATAAGTTTATTAACGATGATTTTAAGCACTATTTGTCATATACTTTACTATATATGAAGGCAGTTGATACTTTAAAAGTTGGATTTCTTTGATTCTGTAGCTTAAATAAATGCCCCCATTTTTTAACAGACTTTTCTCCAGCATGGAGAGTAGTTTCAGAGGGAAAGATGGACTTGATTAGATTCAGACTGACTATAAAGAATTCCAATCTTCTATTCAAGTTTGGGCCAAAAAAAAAAAAAAGAGAGGAAGAGGGAGAAATGCTAGTTTACAAAACAGATACCATCGTTTTGTTTTTATGTTGTCATTTATCCAGTAGTTGAAGTATTTTTTTTGGGAAAAAGAAACAAGGTGGTCTGTCCTCCTTCTTGAGTTAAACAAAAGTAGGAATAGAACACATGCAGGGAGCTGTTTAAATGTGTTCCTGTTTAATCTGTTCATATTTAAACTTTATTCTTTTGAGAGAGCAAACTGAATTGGGCTACAGTTGTAACAGCCAGTAAACAGTCATAGTTTATGCTGGTTTTCATAAGGTGTCCTCCATGTTATTAGAAATGGATTGAGAAATGTCTCTTTGTTCCTGTCCCTTGATCAATCAGATTTACTCATGGGGGATTGCTATGTACCAGTCTTGACCACGACTGTGCAGATGGCACAAACCACATCCTATTACCAAATAATATGCTTGCTAAGTAAGTCTGAGCGTGCGAGAAGAACATGGGGTGAAGTTGTCATCGTTATTTGTGATTAATTAGTATTTAAAATTTCTATAGCAACTTGAAATATTCTGACAGTTTTTTTTTATTTAACTACAAAGAGTCTTTTTAAAGCCATACTGTGTTATTGGACTCTAGCAGAGAGCTGCATGTTCAGATGTGGTGAAAATATTGTTTAGATTTCTGCTGATGTTTCATGAAAGCAGTGCCATCTATACTTGAGAATATAAAATTAGAGCAAAGCAATACCAAAAATAATGTATTCATAGCAGACTTTTCTTAAGAATCCATTGTGCCATTGTGTTATAAATGTGCAAGTAACTGAATTTCAAGTTAAGTTGGTAGATACATTACTTATTGCAGAAACTTTTGACGTAATGATATTCACATGTAAATGGGTTAGTCTATAGAAAGAAATAGATGATGTATCTGTGGCTCGTGTGAAATGTACATGCCTGGTGCTTGTAGGCCCAATAAAGGATGGAAGTACAATCATTTGTACTAAAAAGTTGGTGAATTTATGTTTCTTCCTGCTTTTCCAACAGAGAATATGAAACAGGAGCCAAAATGACATCCCGATTTGGAAAGACCTACAGCCGGAAAGGGGGAAACGGCAGTTCCAAGTTTGACGAAGTATTTTCCAACAAACGGACCACCCTTAGTACAAAATGGGGAGAAACCACCTTCATGGCCAAATTAGGACAGAAGAGGCCCAGTGTCAAACCAGATATTTCCGAAGTTCCTAAAAAACCCAAAGTTGAAGATGAGGTACCAGAGGATCCATTTGGATTTGACAGTGATGAAGAATCTCTTCCTGTGTCTTCAAAGAATGTGTCACAGGCTAAAAGCTCCTCTCAGCTGGAACCCGGTGAAGCTGCTCAGTCTGAGGACTTCGCTCCTCTACTTGAAGCTAACAGCAGAATTAATCAGCCAGACAGCGGAGAAAATGTTGCATCCAGCAAGTGTATATCTTTTGACAATACTGTTCCTCTCTTAAAAGAAAAGAGCACAAGCAAAAACGTGGAAGATGGAGAATGCAAAGGCAGCAGTGCTAAACTTGTAACTGCAGGTACAGTTACTCAACTGTCCAGACAATTCTGTTACTCTCTGATTTTTACTAATCTACATTTAGACTTTGTGTTTTCAGGGTTGGTTAAATGTTCTGATAAAACCGTGGGGCAATTAATTCTTAATTGTGAGAAATTGTAAAGGATACGCTATTTAACTAAAAACACCAGGAAACATTCTGCATTTTACACATTGGTCTGAGATCCTTGGCACTCTAATCCTTATGCCTGCAAATTGAGATACAGTGCTTTAGATTCAATGAGTTATGTTAGTCCACCTTGAATAGAATGGAATAATAATCTTCCTTTTCTAAAATTTGTTCTGAGCTCTCTGCATTTGTGGTTTTTTAACATGTAGTATTTTGAAGAGTGATGAGTTGGTAAAAATAGAATGCTTTATTCTTAAGTTGCTGGCTTTGATTTAGTGCGGGTATGTGGTTACTACCATGCAGGTGCAGATACAGCTTACAACCTGCCTTATTCAATTATTTGGATGGAAAAGTAGTTTTCTGAACTTCAGTTGCACAAAGATATATTATTTTTTTAATAAGCACATCTTTATCAATGTGTACATAAAAAGCTTCAGACCTATGAAACAGAATTCTGTCAAACGTCTTTTTAGGGGCTCTTTTCAGGCTCTGAAGTGTTTGTGGGATATCTTAATACTTTTGAGAGGGAATTCACAAACCCCGTGGAGCTGAACATTGCTGTAATTTTGTTCAAGTCATTCTTAGACAAGATCAGATGTTATGATACCTCATTAGAAGTTTTCATATAATGGGCTGGTTAAACCACAGCTTCTAAAATTGGGCAGAAGATCACATTAGATGAACCTTGATGAAGATGACACCTACTTGCTCTGGGTTATCATAATCGACTTTAGTGAGAAGAACTTATGTAACTTTGAATTCTCAGATATAGTTAACTTAACCCTAGGATCAGAAATTTGAGTGGACTTGTTTAGTTGTAATACAGTGGACAAGAAGATACTGAATAGTGGAAGATATGCGTAGCTCAGTTATTTGCAAGGTAGTTTTATTAGTGATATGAGACAAGAAAAAGCAAGAAATGTTGATTTGAACTTTAGTTTGAGAGACACGTTGGTGGGACATGTAGTTATCTTTTGATCTTTATTTTTGCTGCTGAAATATTTCTCGTTTTCATATGGTTTTCTGCAGTTTATTTAGCTGTAAGTATGATCCACCTTCAGTCTGGAAACATAATTTGTGTTTTGCTGAGTTTGAATATAGTTTTTATAAGGAATTGAATAGATTCATCCCCCAGTGTTTACAAGGAGAAGAAATAGTAATGAGTTTCCTTGGTTGTTAATGAGAGATTGTAGCAGAGCAGGTTTTACAGTGAAATGGTTTCCACATAGAAAAGCTTTGTCAGAGCAGTATTTTTCAGGTTGGAAGAGAAAATGTGAGAGCTGTGGGAAGAAAATGTGATAGAGCTCTGAAAATTCATAGTGCATGGAAGGCCAAGAGGAACAGACTTCAGCAGTTTTTTGGTGCTTCCTGGTTCTAGTATTATGGAAAATAATAAAATATAATATTTAGCACAGAAAAGCTTTTTAATTTGATGCTTATTTAAATTCTAGGATTCTTTGTTAGGCAATACTATATATACTATAAATATATACAGCTCTAAAAGGAAGGAAGCTGACGAATCTTGGTGGGTAAGTCCAGCAGCGGCTGTTGAGTGTGGTGGTAGTCTGGATGCAGAGGGGGGAGTTACTTAAACAACAGTTTGCTGAAGGAATTCTGTTCTTGCATGCTTTTCTGAAGTATTTGTTACTGACTGCAATTCAGCTGGAAGTAGTGAAGGACAAGGTGGATCTTGATCTGATGATGCTGTTCTTTCAGAATCTATTACATTCTGTTTACACCCAGTCAAATGAAGATAAAAACCCATTTCATAGCTTTCTTCAGAAATTAAATTCAACTGTGAATGAATCTTTGCAAAACATCGTAGAAGGGTCTTTAAATAAGGGTAAGGAAACCAAGGCTGTAGTTTTGGTGAGTGTTTATTTTGGACAGTTAGTGGAAATGAAACTTGGATGGTTTAAGCAGCTATTATGCTTGTGTGTAGACTGATCCAAAATAAATAAAAATTGTCTCTGAGTACGTCACTCGGAACATTGAGCAATTAGAGATAGTGGTATATTTAGCCAGTGTAAATGTAGGAACTTCAAAGGCTTCTTTGTTACGTTGACTATTAAGTAAAGTTTGATGGTATGAGGCTATCTTTCAGAACTGGAGAGAGTTAATTTTATTGATTTGGGGGTGGGGGTATGGGGGAAGAGGGAACTTGGGGGAGAAAAACTGAGTAACAATAAAAAGGTGGTTTCTTGTTGTGTGGTCTCCTAAGGTATATGTTTGTACTTCTACTGTTATATGTCCTCACCCTCCCCATAATCATTTTCCTCTTCCTGGTGACTCTTGAACTCCACAGGTTCAACCAGATTTATTCAAAGGGCTTATAGATCCTTGAGACAACAAGCTGTACTATTCCTGAAGAGGAAAGAAAGAGGGGGGGAGGAAAAAAAAAAAAAAGAAAAGAAAAAGTCAAGCAGATAGAATATTAATATTCCCAGTGTGAGAGGCACTGCAATGTGAGCTCAACCTTAACCCACATACAATGGTATATCTCTAGGTATAGGAAACTAGGCTATATTGGTACTGATGTTCATGAAAGTGCTTGTTAACTTGTTTTAAGTGCAATTTGCTAGTCATTTTCCTGATACTGACTAGGCAGTGCATGAATTAAGATCTCAAGACTTCCTGATAGCATGTGCCATCATTGTGTTTTAACCTAGGTGAAATAAGGTTAAGAATTGGAATAAGGTGAAAACTGTAACTTAAATGGCTATGGGCAAGCTGAGAGCTACAGTTTAGCCTGCTAATTCTGCTCCACATCTATTATCCTGCCTCAATGTCCATTTCTTTGGACATTAAAATGAAGGTAATGCAATGTCAGTTAATTTTAACTAATGTTTGGTATTAAAAAGCAGTCTGTTTTTTGGATTGTTTTAATAGTTGTGCAACCGCGTAACACAGTTGAGGATCTGTATCTTTTATTTAAAATGGTATGACTTACTGGTTTCTTTTTTTTTTAATAGCCTTCAGCTAGTGCTTGTAACTATCTAATTTTAAAGGCTTTGAGAAGCTCTTAATGTGGAAAGCTTCTCATAATCTTACCCTAACATTGCTTGATCAAGACTTAATACTGTTGGAAGAATGTTCATGAGTAATCCTGTACGTAACAGATGATTTACAGATAGCAGGAGTTCAGGTAAACTAGAAATAGCAAAAGAGTATTCAGTATTAATAGTTACTGTTAGATCACTTTTGTTAAGGTAGGAGGACTTGGTAGCTAAAAAATAAGTCGTGTTGTTGGAAAAATATTATACTGGTAATTCATATCAAGCAAAAATGCAACAATGTAGTAGTCAGAAAGTGAGCTTTTTTTATGAGAGAGTCTTACAGTAGGGTAAGGTGAAAACCCACAGAGCAATACTTACTTGGATTTCTGAAACACCTTGGTGGGTTTGTATTTATTTGTTTTTTAAACTGTTAAGCTTGTTTGGTAAAGGCATAAACCCAAATAGTATTTCACACTAACACAAGCTTTAATACAAAAACACGGCCTTGCAGAGCAAATTGTGAGGTGCTAGTTTTAAAAAATTTTCTAATGACTTTGTTCTTAGAATATTTATGTTAGCTTGTGTGTTGGAATTCACACAGTATGATTTTTCAGATGAAAATTAAAGTCAAAGCTTGATGAATTTTAAAAGATGGTGTGGCATTTCATAATTATATTAGTATATGAATGTGTTTCAAATTGGATAACTACTTTCCCTGCTCCAGCTATTTCAATTTAGGGAAATACTACTTCTGGCATTCTTGTGTGTGAGTTTGCGTTTTTTCACTCTGGATGTTGTGATCACCTGTCTTTTGCTTGTGTGCCACAGTGCTGAGCTCTGTAACTCACGCCTTTGGAGGGTCTAGTCCAAGATGTTGATGCTGTTCATCAGAGAAGGCACTTGGGTCGAGAGATGTCTCAAGTGGTTGTATGATATCTCTCATCTTTTCACACCTGGTATTACTGTTTGTGGACTTTGAAATAATATTGCTTATTTACATTAATTCTAAGTTAAAATGTTAGGTTTTTAATGATGCTTTTAACCAGAAAGTATTTTAATTGGGCATGAATTAAGTCTGATTGATTTTAAAGCCTATGAATTTATTTCTTAAAAATATATTTTGCTTTCTGTGGAGAAACAGAATGTCTTTTCAGAATACAGAGCAGTGTAGGAGTAGTATCCCCTTCTGTGTTGTGATGCTAAGTACAGATTTTGTGGTTATTGTCTCAGCAGTGCCCTTTGAGGGTTTCTGAGATTAAAAGGACAAATTATTGCATGTAAAGTATTTGTGATACTTGCATTTTTTTTTTCCCCCCTAACATTTAGAGTAATTATGAAAATAGCTATTCTGTATCTTGTCATCTGTTACTATGTACTGGTATTCAAACAAGTCTTTGTTCTGGAAGTAGTTTTGTTCTTGGTGCTGTAAGGAAACATTTGCCTGTTGTCTGCTGTTCAGTTGTTTTGTGTTTCTAGGTAGTTCTTAATGCCGTCGTTTTTCACTTGGGGCTCATGCACATATCCGTAACAAATCAAAATGGCCAATGCAGTCCTTAATAACTTGTGCTTATGCAATGCAGGAGTGAAGGGATACAACTGTGCTTAACTACTTCATGACCCAATATGCAGAATCTAGTTGTGTTTAGTTGCTTGAAAAGCATACTGAGTGAATAGAGTAATTTGCAGAAAATGGTTGCCCTGAAAAGAAGATAGTTCAAGTCATCAGGTCTGTTCCCCACAGACTGTCCTGATAGTACCTTAGTGAATGTGTCAGCAAAGGGTCTGCATCCTGATTATGTGGGTGGGGGAGCCCTATCTTTAGAGTTAAGTTTCAACTTCTCAAATGCAAGTTTGTTA